ACGGGTTTGGAGTGAAGAAAGGAGATTCTTCAACCATTTCTTGCGAAGAGGTACCTGGTTGAGGCTGAGGTTCTGTATCTGAAGTTTTCACTGTGGTTATTGGAGCTATTTCTCGCAGGCAGCGACGAGTTTTTTGTTTCACTGGTGAATCACGAGGGGTACTAACTCCGTCTGACCGAGTCCTCTTAGTGGGCACCTTACTGGACATCACTGGCTGACAATGCCGCATATCATAAGAGAAGAAAAAAAAAATTAAAAAAAAAAAAAAAAAAAAAAATGTAGCAAACTGTAAATAACAACTGCTCTGGTGTACACTTCAACTGTATTCAGTAAATAATCAAAGAGATTCCGCTGAAAAATAGGCAACAACTGAGAGAAGATTTCAGAACACGTCCTTCGCATCAGCTGATCCACTGCCTTCGAGCCTTACTACTAGAAAAGAAAATCGATGTAGCCCTAATAACGGAGACTCGACTGACCAAAAAACAGCTCCTAAACAAACCACAGTACATAACATTTCGTACTGGCCAGCCTGATGGTAGAGCACATGCTGGTTCTGTAATCATTGTACAGCAATCCCTCTTTAATCACCAATACTCATTGTCTACTCACGATTTCGGCGAACGACGAATTCTCGAAGTCGAACATTTCTCAATTCCCAAAATTTTACTCACCTTCCACCCAACTCACCTATCTACTGGCCCTCTGATCCTAACCGTAATCCCGATATCCACGATTTCTTTATTGACAGTGGTTTAGGTATCCTTAACTATTCCATTGCACGTCTTGAGAAGCATTCCTCAGACCACAGCCGGGGTTAACTAAATGTTAACATTTTTTTTTTTCTAATCTGATTGATCAGCTGAAGCAAGAAGTTATGTTTTCAGTTCGGATCCCAGAATTTACTTCTTTCTCAGAAGAATCCCTGATTTTTCACACAATACAGATCAATGGTACATAAGAACAGTTGATAATTATAGTGTGTGCAGTTAGAAACTTTTTAATATATTTTTTTCTATTATAATATGCTCTATTATCACCAATTGATGTCCAGTAAGGCACCTACTAAGAGGTCTCGGTCATACGGCTCTATCGCTCGTGCTTCACCAGCGAAACAAAGAACTCGTCGCAACCTACGGGAAACTCTTCCAGTAACCACGTCTGTATAATCTTTAGAATCTGAAACTCATGCTCTACCAGGTACCTTTACACAAGAAATGGTTGAGGAATCCCTTTTCTTGACTCCTAATCAATACCAACTGTTTCAAAATGACAGAGAGGTAATGGAGTCTTTAGCAATACCCAGAGAACCAATGCCTCCTCCAATATTTGAGAAGAATATAAAGAATTTTCAGTTGTTCTGCACCCAACTAAATAAAATCTGCTCGGGCAGTTATTCATGCCCATACAGAACCAATGACACTAAAATAACACCAGATAATGCTGACGCCTATCAAAAACAAATGCGAAAATTAAAAATATAAAAAAATTGTACGCGTACTATCTGAGATAGGAGAGAGCTTTAGACTGTTGATAAGAAATTTGCACTCCTCAACCCCAAATGAAGAACTAACAAAGCTTGGTTCCAAAGTACGTCAGTTAACCAACGTTTTGAAGAAGGATAAGTAGCAGCCAGTGTTACAAAATAAAATCTATCTGATATCTCTATTTTGAGAGATATACTGAGTTTTGAGGGGATGAGAACGGTGGCACCTCGATCATGAAGCGTGGGTTGATTATTAGCTTTTTCAAAATTATTAAATAAAACGATTACGAAAATAGGGCATCTACTTGAAGGAAACTTTTTATAATAATAATAATAAAAGGCTTAGCGAACCCGAAGGTTCGATGCCGACACCACCAATCGCTTATTACACACCTCCCTCCACCGTTCGCCGTCCAAACCCAGTCCCTTCAGATCGGCTTTAATGCAATCTTCCCACCTTCGCTTCGGTCTACCCCTCGGACGCTTACCATTCGGCACCGCAAATATTAACCTTTTAGGAATTCTCTCGTTACTAAGCCCAACAACTTTACAAGCCCATTTGATTCGCCGCGATGAAATTACCTCAATTATATTACTCGGATACAGCTCACGCAATTCGGCGTTGTGTAACCGTCTGAACTCTCCGGTTAACTCATCCTTCTTCGGTCCGAATATTCTACGCAATACTTTATTTTCAAAAACCTTAAGACGCTGCTCATCCCTTAATGTAAGCGGCCAAGTTTCGCATCCATAAAGAACTGTAGGCAAGATAATTGTTTTATAGATTCTAATTTTTAAGTTTCGGGACAAGAGGCGCGAACTAAGTAGTTTTGTCACAGAAAAATAACAAGCATTTCCCGCCTTCAGTCTAACCTTAATCTCTTCTTCAATTTCGTTTTTTCTAGTTATCGTAGAACCTAGATACCTAAATTTATCTACCTGTTCAAACATATTACCATCTATATCGATATCACCAGTAGTATCGCCATTTTTGCAGCTAACCATATATTTTGTTTTATCCACGTTTATTTCGAGTCCTAGTTCTTTACCGGCTTTCATTAACGTTGTCGTATTTAGTTTTATAGTTTCAACGTCTTCGCTTAACAGTACCAGATCATCAGCATAGCCCAGCACGGATGTTGTCCCACCCAGATCCAACCCTTTCTCGGTACGCATTACCTCCCTAATGGCATGTTCTAATGCCAAATTGAACAGGACAGGCGAAAGGGAATCCCCCTGTTTTAAACCCGAACGAACCTCAAATTTTTCGGACAAATTATTACCGATTCTAACTTTATTGAGTGTCTCCGTCAAGCACATCCTGACTAGATTTACTAGTTTTTTTGGAATCCCCTGCTCGATTAGAATATTATACAGTTTCTGGCGGTCAATAGAATCGTAAGCCTTTTTAAAATCTATATACAGCTGGTGAACAATACCGTTATACTCCAATTTTTTCTCTAATATTTGCCGTAAAGAAAATATTTGATCAATAGTCGAACGATTCCGTCTAAATCCGCATTGGTAGTCTCCGATAATTTCCTCGGCGTATTCCGTGATTCGACTGGTTAAGATTGAAGTGAATATTTTATAACATACCGGAAGGAGTGAAATTCCTCGATAGTTATTACAATCCGTCCTCGGACCCTTTTTGTGAATCGGAATAAGAATAGATTCTTTCCATTCTTCAGGTAATTTCTCGTTCACCCAGATCTTTTTAACCAACCGATGTATTTTAGAAACTCCAGCTTCCCCGCATGCCTTAATTAGTTCAGTAGGAATATTATCGATTCCCGCTGCTTTATATGATTTTAATTTTCCGATAGCTACTTCAACTTCCTCTTTACTTGGTCCTTCTATTAACGGTTCAGCACTCTGGTACTCAGAAGGAGGACACAGATCATAATTTCCCGTATTTAAAATATTGTCAAAGTGGTCCTTAAACTTATTCAATATGTCAACCGGATCGGTCAGAATATTGTTATTATCATCCCTAATTCCAGACGTTACGGGCCCTACATATTTACGTGATCTGTTTATACCTTTGTACATGTCTCTTACGTTATTTTCGATTCTATTAGTTTCTATTTCAATTATTTTATTTTTAAGATACTCCCTTTTTTTATTTTTGAGCAATTTTGTCGTTTCGTTCTTTGAGATTCGGAAGTATTCCAGATTGTCTTCGCTAGGATTATTTAGAGCTTTTAATTTAGCGGCTTTTCTTTTTTCGCACATGTTTAAGCAATCTTCATCAAACCACGGTTTGTTATTCTTATTTTCCTTTTTTCCTAGGCACGAGTTACCGACCGCTTTTATATTATCCCTGATCTCTACCCATAACTTGTCAATATCCTCGTGGTCCTCGTCAGGAAGCTCTAAAGCTTCAAACCTATTCTTAACATCTAGCTCGAATTGGTTTCTAATTGATGGATTTTTTAATTTTTCCAAATTAAAATTCTCAAAATCGAAACGGTTTTCTTTTCTCTTTTTTATATTAAGTTTTTGTCGAAGTTTCGCGATTACTAATTCATGATCCGACCCACATTCTGCTCCGCGATAAGACCGTACATTGATTATACTGCTTTGCCAGCTGTGTTGTATCAAGACATGATCGATTTGATTTCGTGTTTGCGAATCCGGTGATGTCCAAGTATATTTATGAATATCCTTATGTTTAAACGTCGTACTTTTAATTATCAGGTTTTTCGAGATGGCAAAGTTTATCAGACGGATCCCATTATCATTACTATATTCGTGCAAACTTTCTTTACCAATCGTCGGAATATAAACTTCTTCCCTTCCTACCTTTGCGTTCGCGTCACCTACAATTATTTTCATGTAGTTTCGCGGTAGTTTATCATAAACCCATTCGAGTTTATCGTAAAATTCACTTTTGACTTCATCGTCACTGTCTTCGGTCGGACAATGTATGTTTATTAATGCGATTTTAAACCAACGTCCCTGAAATATAGCTACCGAAATTCTATCACTAAAGAATTGTACGTCCTTCAAAGCGGATAGTAATCTACTCTTAATTAGAAACCCGGTACCCAAACAATGATTCCCGCTTCCTCCGTACCAAATAGTGTACTTTCCTTCCCTCATCGAGCCCTCCCCTGGCCAGCGAACCTCTTGCAGAGCCACGACATCCAAATTGTACCCATTTACCTCATTCGCGACCGATTTTAGCCCCCCTGCTGTGTTTAAACTCCTTACGTTCCACGTACCAATATTTAAATCCCTATATTTCAACTTGCGCCATGAATCCCCTAAAGCAGTCCCCACCCGGAGACCCGAACGGGGGACTAGTTTACCTCCGGATAATGAAAACTAATTTTTTTAAATATTAAATTTCACCTGTTATTAACACTATTTTTAAAAATACTATCTTTGTTCACCAAATTCTTTAAGACAAACATATATCTCATTGAAGTGAAAGTAAAAAGGCTCTCAAATGGAAATAATCTTTAGTAAAAATACATAACAAAGAGAAAATGTATCAGATGTGATATACCTGATTTCATGAGGCATAGGTAATGTTGCTCCTCGGTCTAATAATATCTTCAAGATTTCGTAGTTGTTTCGGTGAGCAGCTAAAATGAGAGGGGTAATGTCTGGAGTGAATGTAGCAATGTTCCAGTCAACCTTTTCCCAGCTCTGTAATATGACCATAAATTACCTCTTGCCTGGCAAATTTATAATAACTGATGAATACATATTTCTTATGTTAAGTTTAATTTTAATTTTTTCTTGTCTTTATTGAAAAGACTCGTGTTTTATGTAAAAAAGTCACAAAAGTTCAAATGATATGTATAACCTTGTTCAGATTGAATAATATTTTCTGTTAAAATAAAGTAGTTGGAAATTTATTTTATACATAAACTTTCTACTAGTTATGAGTAGTGTTGCCCAAATGCGACCGAGACGAGTGTTGATCTTGCAAACTCAGTCTTTGTCATGGTCTTAGTCTTGCGCAAGAGTCTTGCATTTACTTATTAGCTTATTGTTATAGAAATATTACTGTAATTTTTTAGATAGGAGAAACCTAACTAAGCCCGAATGAAAAATTAGAGGAGTTAAAGGCAAAAGTATATTGGTTATACCAATTATTAACATATAGTAACTAAGATTGTCAAGTATTAGTAATTATTTTGCCTTAATTTTTATTTAAAAATCGATTTTTTTTACCAGTCCTGGTCTTGGTCTTGCAACAATTAGGCGGTCTTGGTCTTGGTCTTGCAAAGTGCAAGACCAAGACTGATTCTGGGCAACACTAGTTATGAGAGAAGGCAAGATATCTTCCTAAAACTCTAAATTAAAAGCTATATCCTTAAGAAGACAATTTCGAGTGAGATGGAAGGACTGGAAATTAAAATCAGCCATTTAGAAGGAAAGTCTAACTGATCTTCATGGAAATACAAGATAAGTATTCTCCTCCAGAGTATAGAGGGAGGAATGGAGGTTGTCGAAGGAACTTTATTGAAGCCGACATACTTGGAAATCTCAGCGACTACAAAGCAGGTAGCTATGTATAATAGTAATTTAAAAATCTTTTTAAAAAAAAAAAACAATAAGATCTATCAATAACAACCGATATGTCTAAGGAGACTTTGGAAAAAGTAATGTGTTACACATCTCATGAATTGTGATTGGAACTTCACAGACTATTAACAGACGATGAAGATAAAGTCTATTATTATAAAATGGAGTTTTTTAATTTTAGAAAATTAGGTAGTGACGATGTTGGGACTCACATATCTAAGTTAAAGAATATTGTCTTCCATTTGTAAGGAACTAAAACATATCAACACCTGTAGCTAAGAACCTCCAAAGTTATTATTAGTATGTAAAATATTAGACTTCTGGATATCTTCCATTTAGATCCCGTTGGCTGTTTATAAAATAAGACAGAGCGAGGTATTGAGAATTTAACGACTCAGATTTGCACCTTCGAAAATCTTTATTTACCTTGAATGACGGAAATGAGCACGGAACATTTATCTCACCAGCTAAACTAGATGTAAAGAAAGAAGCCTGGGCGTAATCTGTAGTAAGTAAAGATCAAAGACAGAAGTTGATTTCCTTTCACTATTGTGGGGGAACTGGACATATTGTACGGATATGTCGTAAATGATTTGATGGTAAGCCTCCCAAAGGCAGCAGAGACAGTTCTGGTAATCCAGCTGTTGGTGGAGAGTCCTCGAAGAATCCCTGGGGTATTCCGTACAGGGTGGCATTGGGTAAGCTGACCCCGCTGCAGACTATTGCAGCTTTGAAATATCAAGATACTCAGGCAACCACCCTGGAAGAGACAGCCAGTATTTTCATTGAAGAAATATACCCCAGGGATGATTCAGCCCAGGACAGCGAAAATGACGCTTTTGTGAGGCGTACCACGGTGTATCCGACCGGGTCAGATTTATGCCCACCATGGGACATTCAAGATCTTCGTATTGCCGTGAATAGGCAGAAAATGAATCGTTCTCCAGGTCTTGATGCAATAGACGCGGCAATCTTAAGGAACAGTATTCCGTATATTGAAGATCATATTTTAAGATTTTTCAATGAGTGTCTAGATACGGGATACTTCCCACGAAGTTGGAAGATTGCTGATTTGAGACTCCTCTACAAGGGAGGAGATAGAGATAAGCAACTCCCTAACTCATATAGACCTATATGTCTCCTCCCTGTGATGAGAAAGGTCCTGGAGAACCTCATGATGTCTAGCTTACGCCCTGTTTTCGACAGAGCTAGCCATCCAATTGATTCCTTCAATCAAGTTCCATCCACGGCGATATAGTTCAACTAGAGGCAGAGGGACCGCTGATGCTCTGCTGAGAGTGCGCCAAGAAGTTGAAGAGAGGGCGGAACGTTATGTTATGCTATTGCTTTTTGATATATCTTCCGCCTTCGACCGTGTATGGTGGCCTAGCGTGCTCCAGCAGCTGCAGAAATACGATGCTCCCAGTAATTTATACTCACTTGTAAGAAGATACCTCCATGACAGGCGTGTCAAGATCAGAGGAAATCACTATGAGGTAGAAGCTTCCATAGAGAGGGGATGCCTTCAGGGATCAGTCCTTGGCCCTGCTCTGTGGAAGCTTGTCTTCGATGAATTGCTGGGAGTGTTAGAGGAAGAGCGGTTTCCTGCTACTGCCTATGTTGATGACCTAGCTGCTGTGGTGGCCTCAAACAGCAGAGCTGGAGTCAGGATAGAAGCAGAGCGATGCGCTGGCCTGGTCGCGAGGTGGTGTGAGGGGAAGAAGATGAGGATGGCTGCTGCCAAGACTCAAGCCATTCTCCTCAAGGGCAAGACTGACAGGGCACACCCTATAACAATGAATATAGAAGGCCAAAGGATACGTCCAAGTGAGGTGGTAACCTACCTAGGAGTTAGGTTAGGTTTAGGCCTAAATGTGACACCTCACTTGGAATATATGGCAGGTAGGGTGGCCCTAGCAATGAACGGCCTAACTCGCGTGGGAGGCGCATTCTGGGGCCTTAGGTATCCAGCCACAATCACGATATATAAAGGAGTTGTAGAGGGTATCCTGAGGTATGCGTCTCCCTTCTGGTTCCGTAACCTCACACTACGACAAAAAAAAAAAAGGCTAGCCTCGACAGCTCTGCTTCGGGTCACCAGAGCATATAGGACAACTTCGCATAAAGCGGTGCAGGTTCTAGCGGGGGTGGTGCCTCTCGACCTCTTCCTACTAGAAGAAGTGACGAAATATTCATACAAGATAGAAGGCTTTACAGTACTTTCGGACAATATACAGGTGAGGATTATGGAAGCGCCTAATAGGTGGAAGAAGATACTCCGGGAGGATACAATTGAAGCATGGAACCGGCGGTGGGTAACAACCCCTAAAGGAAGTACATTGAGGAAGTACTTTCCCACAGTACAGTCGAGGCTTCAGGCAAAGTGGGTCCTCCCGGACTACTGGATTCCCAGTTCCTCACGGGGCATGGAGGATTTCGAGCTAAACTTCACGGTCTGGGCATTGATGTAGATCCTCTATGCCCAATCTGTAGTGTTCCGGAAACTGTAGAGCACGTGGTCACGACCTGCACCGCGTTTGAAACGTTAAGAGCGACAATGACAAGAGCCGCGGGAATCTATGTCCTCACTGAAAATGAGTTTCCTCAGTTAGTCAGTGAGGAAAATTTCCCGCGGTTTAAGGATTTCATAAATGGATGGAAGACTGCAGTGGGGCCCGCTCACTTCCATATTGGTGCTCGCAGAAGAAGAGGACAAGCGCCAGGAAGACCTCCAGATTCTGAAAGCTAGGCCGAAAGAAGAAGGAAGAAGATAAAACAGAAGAACTATATATGTGCATATCTAGTAGAAGTGTGTTATTAAGTATTCATGCCTAAAACACACTATTGCAAACACCCGTATTGCCATTGTGGCATGGGGGGGGGTGGAAATAAATAAATAAATAAATAAAGCTGTTGGTGTAAACATGTCTGTTATGCTAGTCCCTGCAGCCAATGATCAGGTCTCAGATAGGGACAGCTGGTACGTTGACAACCGTGCAACCAGCCACGTGATATTAAGGGAAAATATTTTTCATATCTTTGAGAAGTTCTTTGCTCTACATACCGCCACTATGTACCGTCACTACTAATGGTGATTCCATTTAAGCTGTAGGGAAAGTTAGTGTTATTTTAGAATCTACGTTTCAAGGGAAATGGGAATAAATATTATTGAATGATGTTTGTTAGTACCAAAAATATGAAAGAATTTGTTTTCTGTCTTAGCAGCCCAGGATAAACATCGTAAATATGATTTTTTTCAAGCCAGATATATTGTATGTGTATTTAGAATAAATGGACAGCTGAAGCTTTTAGGAATGAGACAAAGATTTGGAGGGCTTTACAGGCTTTATGTAAGGGCGTTTGTTACTAAAAAAAATGTTGCCAATTTGGTGTCACAGGACAATTTATTGCAACTATATTATAAACGATTTGGTCATTAGAATAAAAGATATGTTAGGGAAAAGATTTTCGACAAATTGGTGATAAAGGATGAATTAGAGAGCGAATTTAGGACTTTAAAGCACATTTAGGTCCTTATTTTTTTACTATTGTCACCTCTCATGCCAACATAATATATAAAAGCTATGTAATTTCGTTATACATTCTATTTTTATTATAAATATAGTTAAATTAATCGAATTAAAAGTATTAAAAGTGAAATATGCCTTCGATTCCATGCGGTTTAACATCCGCTTAATCCTCTCACACATGAACGTGTCTATATGAGATACATAGGAAACTTGACACTCTTTTAAATTGATTATAATAAATTTCTTCGAGATATGGATATATTTTAAGTGGATATCCGACGAAAACAGATATTTCTTGTGAAATAAGGAAACATTCAACATTGCCTTACTCCTTATCCGTTTGACGGTAAAATTGATATTAAATTTTGTCTTTTTGAACTTTTTATATAATAATGATTTCTATAAAATGGATCCTTTAGGAATCCATATAACTACAATGGATGTAGTCATATAACTACAATCTGACTGGCCTAATTTGATGACTTTGACGGGCCAGTTTCTAAAACTCAACCGAGTACATTGTCAGTAAAGGTGAACTATTTTTTTAGGGACATATTCTTGAGACCATATCGAAATTTCAGCCGTATGTTTTTCTGTTAAATAAACGGATCCCATTCCTTCCCATGATCTTATCCAGATTTTCTACAATGTCCCAGTCCCATTTTTTTCTTCCAGAACTACATCCTCCGAGGCCTCGATTCCCTCACCTATGAAACCCTCTCACATGATCTCGACTATATCCAGTGGGGCTCCATTTGTCACTTAAACTCCATCGATACCATGGCAGAAAAACTTTCTTCACCCCTCATCTTCTTACCATCCTAGTAACATAACTTATCATAACAAAACCTATCCGACATCTCTCCGGTCCTTGGCTATTTCCCGCTTTTAGAGAATGTATGAGAAGTTGAGATTCTGCAAGACGGCGGTTCAAAAGAACTCGACTTGAAGATTATCTTTCCTTCAAACAATTCCGAAACAGCACTTAATCTACATCTTAGAACTTCTACATCTTACTTTACGCTAATCTATCCACTCTCTCAACACCAGATTTCAACTTATCGTTTTATATATACCCTCCCATAAAACAACTTCCTTCAGCAAAACCTTCGTCATTCATGCTACCTCCTTCTGGAACTCCTTACCCATCTCCATACGTCAAACCGCGTACATAAATTCCTTCAAACATCTCCTTTTCCACCAAATACTACAAATTGAAACTTCCGCAAGCTTTGGGTTATATAATTACGTTGATCACCAGCAGTTAATTGATAGGAGCAGTTTTGTTTTTATTAATCACTCTTTTTTTTCTCTCTCTCAGTATTTCCTGTATATATTTGTGTTTACCTTAATATTTTTGTATACAATTGTATTTTCCTTAGTATTTTTTGTATACATTTGTATTTTCCTTAGTATTTTTTGTATATATTTGTATTTTCCTTTGTATTTTTTGTATATATTTGTGTTATATTTATATGTTCATATTTTTGAAGTCTGCTATTATTCTATGGGAACTTCATTCCCAGAATAAAAATTATTTTTCATTTCAGTAGAATACAATATCCTCTTTATCAAACTTGAAAATATCTTCTTGTCTTCTAGTGCCCTTGGTTGGCTCCAATCCTTCCTCACCGGTCGTTCCCATTATGTTGTAGTCTCTAATAAACCCACATCTACCCCAGTCAAATCAGACATGTTGCCTTGAAAAAGGTTAGGTAATTCAATTTTTTTTTTTGGATTGTTAGGTATGTAGTGAAGTTTCCGCCCTTAAAAGCCTTGTTGGTTCACTGCAGTGCTTCAAAAACCATTGAAATCTCGAACAATTTTCGGTTTACGCTAAATATCAGTTTTTTAGAGCAACATAGATAAAAAATGGTTATATTTAATCTTAAACAACTTAAAATTACTTAACATTATTGTACATATCATTTGTTTCTAAGCCCAATCGAATTATCGAGCTTTCAAAATTTAGTCATTTCGATTTCTTCTCAATAGTGCTGTTTTGAACGGAATAATTCTGTAACTCCATTTTGAATCTGGTATCGGGAATTCGGAGATTTTTTTTTTTAAATAATAAATAATGAGCCTATGACTGGAATGGTAAACGGTAGTCGGGAGACGTTTTAAAAAGTATGTTTCATGGTGGGCCATACCCCCCTACCGTGCACCATAAATTTAATAATAGTACACCACATCCCAATAAATTTGTTATATAAATATAAATTTGTTCAATGTAACTATTTATTAAAAAAAAAGGCAATGTACCCATAAAAAAATGGTTGGACTGACCCAAACAGGCGTTCAAACATGGCAGATTGATGACTTTGACTAATATATATACTTTATTAAACATAAGAATAAACTAAGTTTTTTAGTAAAAGTTTTCTTAATTCTGCCACCCATGTATATCATGATAATAACAGGTAATGTTGGTAATTAGAAAGAATGATAAAAACAAACAAGCCTTTGAGAAAAGAAATTCAATTAATTGATCCTGGACTAATCAATATATTATAGAATCAAATTTTTTTAGCTAATTTTTTATTATTAATTTTTATTTGAGTTCTGCGCATGCCCTAGATTATAATATACTACAATTATCTCGTCTCTTAGATATATTTACTTTTTCTTGAGAAATTAGTGTTATTTCTTAATTAAATTGTAACTATACGTGAGCTAAACACCTGAAATATAATATGCACTAATGCCACAGTGAGTACAGTTGTTATTTATTGTGTACAGTCGTGTGAAGTGAAAGCTGTGTATAGAGGCCAGTTCTGTTATCTCACTGCCATAAGTACCTAGTCCAGACTAGCCAGTTGGGCTTGAAGCAATTAAATATCTATCCGAAACAAAGGCAGATTTTCACATCTACCAATTGAGGCAAGAGCGTTCCCTGACTGTAGTAATGTGGAATTTACACCCCTCTACTCCAGCCGAGGCAATCCAAGAAGAACTTACAGCCCTAGGTTTCAAAGTCCGATAGGTCACCAATGTAATGAAGGACGACAAAGATGTATCCGGTGCTAATAGAAAAATACCATTACCCATATTTTTCATAGATTTAGAACCCTCAGCAGGAGTTGATAAAATATATGAAATTAGAAGATTATATTATGCTAGTGTTAAAGTTGAAATACCATAAACTTAAAGAGAAATCGTCCAGTGTCATAATTACCAGGCATATGGCCACACCAAAACTTACTGCCACCACATTCCAAAATGCGTGAAATGCGGAAAGTCACACAAGACTAGTGAATGCAATAAACTGAAAACTACTCCAGCTGTATGTGCTTTATGGCTGGAAGGACATCCTGCCAACTACAAGGGCTGCCAAGTCTACAAAAAAACTCAAGAGAGACTCAAACCTCAGCCCAAGAAGTCCAATGAAAGGTAAAATCTTTTTAAAAATGTGCAAGGCGAGTGGAAGCAGTCATTCAAGCCGGAAGGGGCAATACGTCTTATTAAATGTAAATTTAAAATTTAAAATTGTAAAAAATGGAAAATTTTAAAAATTAAGTTTTCTAACATTTTTGTTTATTAGAAGAAATATTGTAATATCTTTTAATAACTTGTTTATGTCCAGTTTAAAAATCTTTATTATAGACCTTAGACTCTTTTTTTATTTTGAAAAAGAAACAGTTTTTGTAAAATTCAAATATTTCAAAGTGTTGCGATACTGTTGACGAGGAATTTATATCAACGACTGGAGTTTTGTGGTTTACAAAACAGATGGAGTGTTGTGACGTCACATGGTGATCTATGATATTTTGAACATCTGTTTTGTACAAATGATATTTTTTTGTAATACTTTTCTTACGATCAATAAAGGTTGTTGTTCTAACTTGTTACAAGAGCACATTGTCTTTCATCTTTATATTCTGCAACCTCAACCCTTATCCTGTAAGTTTTTGTGTGTGTCTTGTCTCATATTAGTCGAAGTCACAACATGGAATAACCAGGTTATAATTGCCTACCGTTGATGTAGTTAATAGGGTTTTTGTTATAGTTAATGATTTATAAGCTTTAAGCTTTAAGCTGTTACTCCATTAAAAAAGTTATAATTGCCCAACATTGCAAAACAATAGTTTCTTTAATAAATGAAAGTTGATGATTACGGGTACTAGATCTTTTTTCATGATTATGTATGAGTAGGTAAAGAAATTTCACTTTAATAACGTATCTACTATTTTGATTTTTAAAAAAAGTAATGATAAAACGACATTGTGGTTTCTGGAGGTTTATTGTGCAGCTTCTTATTCTCCAGTAAGGAAGGAAGATTTTATGCTTCTTTTTCTTTGGACCAGAAGTCGTGGTAACTTGTAGATTTATTTAGAAATAATGTAAACTATAAAACAAAAGTCAATAAGTGGCACGTAAAATGTTTCCTATTTAAAAAAAAAAACTATTATTATTATAACATTAACCTTTAATACAATATTATTTCAAAACAGTGATTATAGTTAATCCTTTTCTTACCAAAGATACTTACATATTGCTCTCCTTCCTTGTGAACTAATTCTTCATACTCGAGCAGTAATTCCACAGCTTCAACAAATCCTACGTTTATGGCCTGCAGAAGGCTATCTTTTGTTTGAACCCCAAGTACAGTCAATAATTCAACCATTTCCAAATTTTCTCCATCTATAGCAAGAGTCAATGCTCCTCTCCCTAGTGGATCTACGCAGTCAATATTAATATGCTTTTTCCGATGGGCTCTATGCAGCATTCTATAACAATAAATATAAAAAAATAGAACTAACGTTTAAAATCTTTCTCATTATTTGAAGTAGTACAAAATGGATAAATGTAAACTAAGTTATATAATTTTACGTTCTTCTTTGAGATTTATAGTCGCTCTCTCTTTTTCGATCGTTCAAATCAATTTTCATGTTTCTTTTTTATATAAATTCTAAAACGTCATTGACAAAAGAATTACATTCGGAACCAATCAATGAAGAATTTTGCCATATTGATATTTTGATTGACATTAATTTTATATTTAAGAAGATAGTGGATCAACTGAGGCGAAGGTTGTGCTCTCAATTCGTATCTCAGTTTTTGCCTGTTTTTCAGCGGATTCTCTCTGTTTATTCACTGAATAGAGTTCAAGTGTACATCAGAGCAGTTCATATTTACTGTTTGATATCTTTGTTTTTCATTTTTTTTTTACCTCTTTTATTTCCTCCTATTATGATATGCGCTAGTACCAGTCGTGTTTCACCAGCCAAACAAAGAACTAATCGGTGCCTTCGAGAAACACCTCCAATGACCACAGTGAATACTTCAGATCAAGAATCTCAGCCACAACCAGGTACTTCTTAGCAAGAAATGGTTGAAGAATCCACTTTATATACTTAAAACCCGTTCCAAGTGCTTCAGAATGCCAGAGAAGTAATGGAGCCTGCAGCAATACCCAGGGAACCAAGGCCTCCTCAGATATTTGTAAAAACACATAGAAAAATTCCAGTTATTGTGTACACAACTAAACAAAAATGTTCTGGTAGTTATTCCTCCCTCAACAGGACCAACGATTCAAAAATAACACCAGATACTGCTAAAACCTACCGAAAAATAGTTAAGTATCTGTCAGAAACGAATGAAATTTTCATACGTATCAGCTAAGGCAGGAGAGATCGTTGGTGTGAGTGGTGATGAGAAACTTGCACGCCTCGATCACAACTGAAATGATAAAAGAAGAACTAACGACGCTAGGTTTCAAAGTACGTTAGATAACTAACGTTATGCAAGAGAATAAGGAGCAGCCACGAATAAACAATAAATTCCACTACTATTATTTTTCGTGGACCTAGAGGCATCACCTGGTATCGAGAAAATATAAAAAATCAAGAGATTGTACTACACTATCGTGAAGATCGAGTGGCCACACTCCAAGACGGGCATTGTGCAGTGCTACAATTGCCAGGCGTACGGCCACACGAGACTTATTGATCCCACTTACCGCTTTTCGTGAAATGTGGTTAACAACATAAATCAGGAGAGTACACCAAACCGAACAAGATCCTGCAGTTTGTGCCCTATGCCAAGATGGACAACCGGCCAACTACAAATCCTGCCAAACTTATAAGAATCTCAAATCCAAATACCAGGAATTCAGGTATTCAGGAAGAGATAATCAGATCAAGAAGAGAGCCTTCTAGAATAGTGAATAATAATGTATTTTCCGAATTACTTGGAAGTAAGAATCCAACTAATGAATGTGAAACCCTACAGCAGTAACTACCTCAATATCTTAGACCAGCATTAGACGTTGTTTACTACCGTCAACAGTCCTGGTATTTATTTATATTTTAATTGCGAAGTAATTCTCAATAATAAATTTTAAAAATGGTGCAGTGTAATATTTGCAACAACTCTATCGCACGCGAAGATAAGAACAATATACACTGCGTTAAGTGTAAAATAATTTTTCATGGTAGGTGCGTCAACCTTACTGATAAAGACTCCGAAGCATTAAAAATAATTAAAAAAACTTGGGTTTGCTCTAACTGCGAACAGGGGAAAAAACAAAATAACGAGCCGTCCCCCTCAGAAATACTTGCGGCAGTAAACCGTTTAGACGCTACCGTGAACGAAGATATAAAAAACATGAAAACAGCACTAGATAAATACGGAGAGCTCAGTTTTGAACTAAACGAAAGACTGACGAAGATTGAAAAACATCTAGAAGGTCAAGCTAAAAAATTTGAGGAGATACTACTAGAAAATAAAGCACTCAAATCCCGAGTGGGCGAATTAGAGGTTCGCTTGAATAACGCAGAACAAGGACTATTGAGTAGATCACTGGAGATCCGCGGTATACCGGAGCGACCGGGCGAAACGCCCGCTGCTTTGGTGACCAGTATAGGAGCAAGCTTGGGGATCAGGCTTAGTGTGGAGGACCTTGACAACGTACATCGCCGCAGAAGCCGAAAAGATGACTCGCGACCACCGCCTGTTATCGCACGTTTTGTCAGGCAATCAATTAGAGATGACTTAATTACGAAAAGGAAAGTGAAGAGGGATTTCTCCACGCGGGATATCGGTTGGCAGGAAAATGACTGCCACCGAATTTATCTGGGTGAAGAGATGACTCGCACAAACAGACACCTCTATTGGTTAGCCCGGCAGAAGAGAGCGGCGGGAAAAATCAAATATACGTGGTTTGCTTCCGGAAAGGTGCGGTGTCGAAAAGAGGACGGACATAGAGTCATCCTGATAGAACAGGCCTCGGATCTAGATGTATTTGACTGACTACCTAGAAGACGTCAACCCCTTAGCCTCATTAAAATAGTCTTACTTCTTTCTTAGTGCTATCTCGACACCGTCACTCACCAATCTATTTATTTTCAAGTACATTCTCTTTATTTATTTTCAATGTTAATATTACTTTTTCTTTACTTAGTTTCATGTACGATAATCGCTTTTCTGTACTTTCTACTCGTTTTGTCTTCTCGCTACCAAACACTGACTGTTTCTCTCCAAATCCACTGTATGTCTAGTTCCCTAATCACATGTCAAGTTAACTCTCAATCACTTTCTGCCCATTATGACGAATTCCTGCAATACTTTACCCAAAACTTTTATCATATCATAGCAATATCCGAAACCTGGCTCAAACCTTATATTCCATCATCTTCAGTATCCTTGCCGAATTACATCCTGCTCCGTCATGACCGGGTAAACCGGACTGGCGGTGGAGTAGCCATGTTTGTCCACAATAGCCTAAAGACCCGAATCCTCGATTGCTCCCCATCTTCCGATCATCCTCATGTAGAATACCTCTTAGTAGAAATTCTCAGTAATATTTCTCCTATCCTTTACGCCGTGGTATATCGCCCTCCTCTCGTGCCATTTGACCCGTCCTTCGAATCAACTCTATTCAACTTCGTTCCCCTCTATCCCAGAATAATTATCTCCGGTGACCTCAATACCAATTTCCTCTCAAAATCCAATGACAAATCCTATTTAGAAAATCTGTTTTTCTCACTTCACCTATTCATCGTTCCTTTTTCCTCCACCCACCACACCAGCAGATCTGACACTTGGCTAGACTACTACATCATCGACTCAGCACAAAACCTCCTCTCCGCCTCTCAATTGCCAGTATCCTTTCTTTCATCTCATGATCTGATACAAATAACGTATAATATCCGCACTCCTCCAATCCATCCTCGAACTATCACTTTCCGCCAACTGGATACCCTTACTCGAGAAAAAATATTACCTGATCTAGTAACATTGGATTTGAATGGAATATATCATTGCTCCTCTGTCGACACCATGGTTGATATTCTCACCACCAATCTTCTCAATATACTCAATACCCACGCTCCTCTCAAAACCTCCACTTTCCGTCATCGTCCTGCTCCTTGGATGTGTCAGGAAATTAAGGATCTGCAGAAGAGACGCGACGCTGCACGCAGACGCTTCAGACGGACTAGGCTTGCAGATGATTATCAAATATTCAGAGTGCTTCGTAACACGACACAGACAAGGATCCGACAAGCGAAAGCGAACTACTTTCACGAAGCCCTTTCCTCAGCTCCTGATATCAAATCAAAATGGCTTCTACTTCGTAAGCTTTCCCTCTGTGAACCTTCTAGATCCCCTTCCTCAGTTTTCCCAATATCACCTGATGACCTAAACTCCCACTTTATATCGGTTTCCACCTCTTCTTTACCATCCCCTTCCGGCTTTTCTCCAGAGGTACCTTTTAACGACAATAATTTTTATTTTTCCGACATTTCTCCCACAGACCTTATTACCGTTATAATGAAATCCCGTTCCAATTCCGTAGGCCCAGATGGCATTCCTATCAAACTAATAAAATTATGTCTCCCTGAAATCCTCCCAGCACTCCTTTTCATCTACAATTTCTCCCTGCAGAATTCAATATTCCCGACCTCTTGGAAAAAAGCCATTGTCCTTCCTTTAAACAAAAAGCCTAATCCATCCTCTCCCGAAGATTTCCGCCCAATATCAATCCTTTCCAATCTTTCTAAACCCCTAGAAAAGTTAGTGCAATCCCAAGTTTCCAACTTCCTTGAACAATCCAACCAACTCGATCCTCTCCAATCTGGCTTCCGTCCTGGCTACTCTACACAATCTGCTCTGATTAAAATTACTAGTGATATCCAGACTGCAATAGATGACAAAAAACTAACCATACTTATACTGCTTGATTTCTCCAAAGCTTTCGATTCCATTATCCATTCCATCCTTTTCAACAAACTAAAATCATTATCCTTCTCCAATAGTTCCATCTCTTGGTTCCAGTCTTTCCTCTCACAACGAACCCAAGCAGTTTCCATACCTAATCAACCTCTATCTGCCTACCTTCCTTTATCCTCAGGAGTTGCACAGGGTTCAAGCATGTCTCCTCTTCTTTTCAGTTCTTATATTAATGACCTAAATGATTACAATTATCCATTGTTCCCACCACCTTTATGCCGACGATTCTCAAATCTATTTATCCTTTTCTCCCGCTGAGTTATTGGTGGCATTTGCCAAAATTCAAGAAGATTTAGATCGAATTAGTGCCTGGGCCAACTTAAATGGATTAAGGCTAAATGCTGCCAAAACTCAGGCCATTCTCATTGGTTCCAAGCCCCTTCTTAGATCCCACACCAACTTTCCCTCACTCTATCTAAACAACCACTCCATCACCTTCTATCCCTTTGTTAAAAATTTAGGCTTTCTCATAGATCAAACCCTTTCCTGGAATCAC